TGGCATCATTTCTATCATCAAGACCGTATTTTCCAACTACTGATCCTTCTTTGTTTCCAACTTTTGCATTCCAATCACCAGTAATTATCAATGCATTCTGATTGCATGTTCAATCAATTTTAAACTGCAGAGGTTGGTAAAAATCTTCAATTTCTTCATCTTTGGCCTTAGTGGTTGGTGAGTAAATTTGAATAATAGTCGTATTAACTGGTCTTCCTTGCAGGCTTATGGATATTATCCTGTCACTGACAATTTTGTACTTCATGATAGATCTTGAAATGTTCTTTTTGATGATGAATGTGATGCCATTCATCTTCAATTTGTCATTCCTGGCATAGTCGACCATATGTTTGTCTGTTTCAAAATGGCCAATACCAATCCATTTCAGCTCACTATTGCCTAGGATATCAATCCATAAAGATTATAGACTAGAAAACCCTATGGGGGCAGTTCTATTTTGTCACATTGGGTTGCTATGAGTTGGAATCAACTCGATGGCACCCAACAACATATTCATACAACAGAATGTTTTACAGTAATGAGAATGAATGAAATACAACTACAGTCAATAATATGGATGAATTTCACACATATAAATTAAGAGAAAGAAGCAGATACAAAAGAATATGTACTGTATGATTCCATTTATGTAAAGTTCACAGTAACACCAAAATATATGTAAGTCCTAACCCCTGGTACCTGTGAATGTGAATTTGTTTGGAAATAGAGTCTTTGAATATGTTATCAGGTAAATTAACATGAGGTCATACTGGAGTGTGGTTGGTAGTAATCCAATCTGAGTGGTACTTTCATAAAAGAGGAGAAGCGACACAGAAGTAGAGGAAGGACAATCATGTGAAGATTCATCTACAAGGTAAGGAACTCCTGGGGCTACCAGAAACTGGGAGAGACAAGAAAGGATCTTCTCCTAGAGACTTCTGAGCATGGCCCAGCTGACATGTTGATTTGGAATTCTAGCCTCCATAACTGTGAGACAACACATTTCTGTTGTTGTAAGCCGCCTAGTTTGTGGAACTTTGAAATGACAGTCCTAGGAAACTAATATAATGGTGTTAGAAGTCAGGATAGTTGTTACCCTTGGGGAGGAGGGAGCTGTGGAGCTTGTAATCTTTCCTTTCTTGATCTAGGTGCTAGTTATATGGGTGTGTTCACCTGTGGAAATTCATGGTACTATGTACTTGTGATTTGTGTACTTTTTTTTACTTCAGTTCAAAATGTTCAAAAACAAAAGAAAACAAAACCCTGACTCTGGCTTCTTCTGCCTTCTAACATAATTCATATATATAACGGGGAAATAAATATGTTCTTCTCCCAGCTGTTTGTAGAACCCAGTGGTGGAGGGAGAAAGGGTGAGAGCTGGGATAGAGGCCTATTATTTATAAAGCACATTAACATGTCTTTGGATATGTAAAGGAAGGCCTAGAGATGAGTGTGATGGTTAAGATTGTGTGTGAACTTGGCTGGGCCATGATTCTCAGTGTTTTAATGTAATCACTCCCATGATTGAATATACTGTGAGTAGCCAACCAGATGAAAGGGAGTATCCTTGGGGGTGTGGCCCGCATCTGTATATAAGCAGACGTTCTGGCTTTTTGCTCTCTCTGGATCCTGCGGCTGCTTCCTGTTGTCTCATCTCCTGTTCTTGGGACTTGAGCTGTCAGCTTATCTGCTGAACCTGGGATTTGTCGATCTGCACAGCCTGTGAGTGGGAGCCCTGCTCTCGGACCCGCCGATCTTGGGCTTGCCAGCTTCTGTGGCTGTGTGACTTGGGAGAGGCCTCTATCCTGATCCACGGACTTGGGACATTCTAGCCTCTACAATCACGTGAGCTGTTTCCTTGATATAATCTCTCTCTATATATATATTTATACACTTTACTGGTTTTGCTTCTCTAGAGAACCCAGCCTAAGACAATGAGTTTGGATTTATGGGCTAAAAACAAAAGAATTACTCTTCATAATAAAATGGGAGGAATTTTTTTAGAGTTGCTGGAGTGACTGTAAGAGATGAAAATGGAAAGAGGAAAAGGCCAATTGACAGGCAGCTGAAGTGTGAATTGGCAGAAATGGTTAAGAGCCTCTTTGAGAATGGGAAAGTACCAAAGTTAAATTTAGTTATATGCTATTCAGAACTATCATGTAATCCCACCCTTCACAATTATCCAGAAGCTTGCAGTAAATCTGCCACACCCATGAATTTATTGGGATCTTTTGTGGAAGTTAAAGCTCTCCAGCTCTGGATTACTTGGAGAAGGAGGAAAAGAACCACTGCAGGAAGTGAGATGACACAGATCTAGGGACACCTCACCTCCAGCAGAATTCAGAGCCAGAGATGACCAGGGAACAAAAGTCCCGGATCTAGACTGACATCCTGGGCAGGATATGGATGAGGACATTGTTTTTTCTAGGCTGCAGTGTGCACCTTCTTCAAAGGAACATGAAATAAATATAATGGGTTGCAATCAGTATTTGTATTAAGTGAAATGAGATAGAAAAGAATAGAAAATAAAAGAGGACATCACACATAGCAAAAAATAATAACTTTTTGTGAAATTTTTTATGTGTATGTATGTGCGTATTAGATCATAGGATAAAATGTATTTTTAACTGTGAGTCACATTCAAAAAAGTGTGAAAGACTCTTGACTAGAGGTCTTAAAGCAAATACCTAGTATCCACTGGGAGTGCAGAAAACAGAGCATAGGGAAAGTATTTCACCAAGGAGAAATTTTTAATTTGGGTCTTAGAGGGACTGTAAGAGAAGATGAGGAAGGACATTCTATAAGGAGTACCTGTGGAAATAGTGTGAGATCATGAGGATGGAACCTCATGTAGGTGGAGAGGTGTGGCAGAAGATGAAGATAGAGAGGAGAGTGAGTTGAGGCTTGATTGTGAAGGGTCTTATACACCAAAACTGAGGAGTTTCTACTTCATTCTGTAGGCAAAGGAAGCCTACAGTTGTTTTTTTTTTTTTTAAGATAAGCCTCTATCTGGTACCCCTTGAAGCCCACAGAAGATAATAATCATAGAACCATTTCTTGGGCATATACAATGGGTCAACACCAAGCTTCTTATTTTATAGGTATTAGTTCAATTACTGATTAGCAAAATAACTGCTAATATTGTAGTTGTTAAAATTATCATCATTTGAAAGATGCTGAGGCTCATAGAGCTTAAGTAAGTTACTGCAGGTCACCCATCCCTCAATTAGAAGAGGCAGGCAGGTCTATCTGACTCCAAAACCAATGCACCTAGCCTCTTCATAAAGGCAGAACTTCTAGAGGAAATTGACAGATGGCCGTCTCATCACTTGACTAGAAAATAAAGGCAGAGAACACTTTGGCTCTCACCCTTCAGATTTTGCCTCAAGCCAAAGCAGATTGCTTTTTATACTTTTGTAAGGTGGAAGAAATATCTAGACAGGAGCTATGGTAGCACCTACACTTTATCTCCTTTTTCATCACCTCCTCCTCTCTTGTCCCCAACCCATTTCCCTGCTTTAGTCTGACAACCATCTTGTGTTTTTCTGTTTCCGCATAAAATGGAGATAATAATGGCTATATTTTATACAGATACAATAATCCCGTGAATACTTAAAAAAAAAAAACTACTTTGAGAATAAATTAGTTACTGCTATTGAGTTGTTTGTTTTCACTCCTTTTTTATTTGCATTTTAGGGTACGTCATTACAGCTAAATTTCCAGAAATTAGCTGCCTTCTGTTACGTTTATTTTTCTTCTTTACAAATGGAGGCCAGAGGCACTAGGAAATTAAAATCCAACAGTGAATTACTGCCTAGCTCAGTTCTTATCTCATTACACACACAATCTCCTTCTCTGGTCTCTATGGCCAGTCTCAGAAGTGGGCAAAGTAAGCAGCCACCTAATTAAAGATTTGAAAGAAGGTGAAAGACCTCTACTTAAAAATGCCTCCCCCTTGTGAAATTCTAATTCCAGACATGCCCTTAGGGCATCTTTGAAAAGGCATCTCCTTTCCACCTTCCTCAAAGTATGAGGATATCTGAGAGAGATTATTAGCTAACTAATTAGTCTGCCATAGAAGCCATTGGCTTTCTCTGTCACCAAGCATAGAGAAGAGGCCTGAAAGAATGACATCCAGGATGATATGGTTTTGTAGGTTGAGGGAATGGGTAGAGTAGATGTAAGTGGAATTAGGGATTAAAGGTAGGAAAGATCCAGAACTTGAGGCACCATTGTTGTTATTGTTAGTTGTCATTGAGTCAATTCTGACTCAGTGACCCCATGTGACAGAGTGGAACTGCCTCACAGGGTTTCCTAGGCTGTAATCGTTACAGAAGCAGATCACCAGGTTTTTCTCCTGGGAGTCCTGGGTGGGTTCCAACCACTGAGCGCTTAATCATTGCACCACCAGGGCTCCTTGAAGTACCATTAAAAAACTCATTTCTGTCGATTCTAACTCATAGCAACCCTATAGGACAGAGTAGAGCTGCCCCATAGGGCTTCCAAGCCTGTAAATCTTTACGGAAACAGACTGCCGCATGTTTCTCCCGTGGAGTTGTTGGTGGGTTTGAATCTCACTTTCCAGTTAGTAGTCTAGAGCTTAACCACTGCACCACCAGAGTGCCTTCCAACTGCCGAGCACGTAACTGTTGCACCACCAAGGCTCCTTGAAGCACCATTAAAAAACTCATTGCTGTCAAGTTGATTCTGACTCAGCAACCCTATAGGACACAGTAGAGCTGCCCCATAGGGTTTGTAAGGAGCTGCTGGATTATTCAAACTGCTCACCTTTTGGATAGCAGCCACTTAACCACTGTGCCACCAGGGCTCCTGAAGCACCATTAAGGAATGAAAAATCTTTAGGCAGCCTACGGATTTAGAGAGGTAAGCATCTCCAGGGGAGAAGGTTAAGGGGTGGGAAAAAAAAAAGAGGATCAGAGGTATGAGCAGGGGCTAAAAAAATAAAATTAAATAAAGTCATCTTAAAACTTTGCACCTACCTAAAATTCTAATCTCTGCATCTGTGAGTCTCCAGTTTTTCATCCCAAGTTTGATGAGTTGTGGGGCCTCTTTCAGTTGCTCCAACAAGCTGGTCAGACTCACTCGCACATCACACCACCAAGGCAGCATCAGCGCAGCTAGCTGTTCCAGGATGTTCAGCCTGCAAACTTGAAGAACCAGTGATAGTTCAGGAGTTGGATCCATCTTGAAATTGACGAGGGTGAAGGGATGTGAGGAAAGGAATGATCTTTATATTTAGAGGCTTTGCAGCCTACTCAATCTGGAAGGATAGTTAAGGAAGCCTCATTTTAGACACACTTCTGATTTTGGTTAACTTTTTTATGGAAAATTTCAAACATATACAAACATTGCATAGAACAATATAATGAAGCTGTATGTGCTAATAAGCTAACTTCAACAAATCAAATCATGAACAATCTTGCTATATCCTTGCCTGATTCCTCCTCTTCTCTATTATTATGAAGTGAATCTCAGTATATATCAGTTCCTTTTTTTAAAAAAATAATCCCAATATAACTATCACACCTGAAAAATCTTATCACTAATTTATTATGCAAATTTGTTTTGAACATCAGTTACTGTCAGACATTGATCATCTTGAAGAAGGTAAGCAGGTAGGAGCCTCAGGTATAATGAGCATGTACAACTAGTAACTCAAAAGATATGGGTCTCACGCTCATCAAAAGACTTCACCAAAAAAGTAAAAAGAGGATCTTCAGACTAGGGAAAAATTTTTGGCTACAACAAATCCAATCAGTGTCTAATCTCTAAAATCTACAGGAAAATCCAACACCTCTACAATAAAAAGACAAATAATCCAATTAAAAAATGGGCAAAGGATATGAACAGACACTTCACCAAAGAAGACATTCAGGCGGCTAACAGACACATGAGGAAATGCTCATGATCACTAGTTATTAGAGAAATGCATATCAAAACTACAATGAGATACCATCTCACCTGACATTACTGGCACTAATTTAAAAAAAAAACAGAAAATAAGAAATGTTGTAGAGGCTACAGGAAGATTGGAACCCTTATGCACTGCTGGTGGGAATGTAAAGTGGTACAACATTTTAGAAAACAATATGGCACTTCCTTAAAAAGCTAGAAATAGAAATACCATGTGATCCAGCAATCTCCTAGGAATATGTGTTAGAGAAATAACAGCCATCACATGAATAGACATATGCACACCCATGTTCGTTGCAGCATTACTCACAATAGCAAACAGATGGAAACAACCTAAGTGCCCATCAGCAGATGAATGGATAAACAAACTGTGGTACATACGCACAATGGAATAATACACAACAATAAAGAACAATGATGAATCTGCAAAACATCTCACAACATAGATGAATCTAGAGGGCATTATGCTGAGTGAAATAAGTCAATCATAAAAGGACAAATACTGTATGAGACCACTATTATAAAAACTCATGAAAAGATTTACACACAGAAAGAAACAATCTTTGATGGTTACAAGGGAGAGGAGGGATGGGAAGGGAAAAACACTAACTAGACAACAGATAAGTGGTAAGTTTGGTGAAGAGTAAAACAGTACACAATACTGGGGAAATCAGCACAACTTGACGAAGGCAAGGTCATGAAAATGCCATAGACACATCCACACTCCCTGAAGGACCAAATTACTGGGCTGAGGGCTGGGGACCATGGTCTCTGGGGGTATCTAGCTCAATTGGCATAACATAGTTTATAAAGAAAATGTTCTACATTCTACTTTGGTGAGTAGTGTCTGACGCCTTAAAAGCCTGTGAGCGGCCATCGAAGATACCCCACTCATGTCACCTGTCTGGAGCAAGGGAAAGTGAAGAAAACCAAAGACACAAGGGAAAGATTAGTCCAAAGGACTAATGGACCACAACTACCACAGCCTTCACCAGACTGAGTCCAGCAAAACTAGATGGTGCTGGCTACCACCACCAACTGTTCTGACAAGGGTCACAATAGAGGGTCCTGGACAGAGCTAGAGAAAAATGTAGAACAAAATTCTAACTCACAAAAAAAGACCAGACTTACTGATCTGACAGAGACTAGAGAAACCCTGAGAGTATGGCCCCTGGACATCCTTTTAACTCAGTACTGAAGTCACTCTTGAGGTTCACCCTTCAGCCAAAGGTTAGACAGGCACACAAAACAAACAATTACATGTAGCTCAACCACACATACGAGATTAAATGGGCCCACCAGCCCAGGGACAAGGATGAGAAGGCAGGAAGGGGGCAGGAAAGCTGGACAAATGGAAATGGGGAAACCAAGGTCAAGAAAGGGAGAGTGTTGACACGTCGCGGGGTTGGCAACCAATGTCACAGAACGATATGTATATTAATTGTTTAATGAGAAACTAATTTGCTCTGTAAACCTTCATCTAAAGCACAATTAAAAAAAACAAAAAAAAGACTTGGGCCTCCCATACATATATGGTCAATTGATTTTCCACAAGGGTGCAAAGACAATTCAATGGGGAAAGAATGATCTCTTCAATAAACAGTGCTGGGACAACTGGATTTCCACATGCAAAACAATGAAGTTGTACCCCTAACTCATACCATATGTGAATATTAACTCAAAATGGATTAACAACTAAAATATAAGAATTAAAACCATAAAACTCTTAGAAGAAATCATAGGGTAAAACTTGGAGACCTTGTTTTTGACAATAGGATTCTTAGTTAAGACACCAAAAGTACCGGAGACAAAAGAAAATTTTGACAAATTGGTCTTCATCAAAATGAACAATTTTTTCCTCTTTTTTTTTGTGGTGAAAATACATACAACAAAACATCCACCAACACAAAAACTTCTAAATTTACAATTCAATGACTTTGATTACCTTCTTCATGCTGTGGCATCACTATCACTATCCTTTTCCTAAATATTCCACCACCGTTAACATAAACTTAATGCACCCCACAAACAAAAACTCTTCCTTTTCCTCTCTGTCCCCACGCCTGGTAACCATTAATAATCTTTGGTTTCTATATATTTACTTATTTCATATAAGTTAAATTATACAGCATTTGTTTTTTGCAACTGACTTATTTCACTCAACATAATCTTTTCAAGGTTCATCCATGTTGTAGCATAGATCAGAACTTCATTTCTCTTTATAGCTGCATAATATTCCATTGTATGGAATGATACATCCAATAAGGATCTAATATCATATATATATATACATTTTATTTATATATACATGGAGCCCTGGTGGCGTAGTGGTTAAGAGCTCATCTGTTAACTAAAAGGTTGGCAGTTCAAATCCTCCTAGTTTGATTAATAGTGTCTGGGGTCTTAAAAGCTTATGTGCAGCCACCTAAGATGCAGTTACTGGTATCTATTTGTCTAGAGCAAAAGAGAAAGAAGGAAACCCAAGATTCAGAGTAGTAACTGGATTACAGGACTAATTGTCTCTATGAATCACTGCCTCCCCTACCTTGAGACCAGAAGAACTAGATGGTGCTTGGCTCACTACTGAACATTCTGATCAGGGACACAATAGATGGATCCTAATAGGAAGAAAAATGTGGAACAAAACTTCAAATTCTTAAAGAATCCAAACTTACTGAACCCATTGAGACTGGAGGAATCCCTAAAACTATTACCTTGAGATACTCTTTAAACCTTGAAACGAGACTGTCTCCTGAAGTCATTTTTTAACTAAATAGCAAGTTAGCTCAAAAAGTACAGAATGTTGAGTTGAGTACTGAGATTTTTAAAAAAATTATCTATATGAGATCAAATGGACAACAGTTATTCTAAACCATAGATGAGACGTTTAAATAAGGGGACAATGAGACTAAGTTAATGGGAGTGAAACAACTAGAACAGAAATAATGAAAATGACACAATGTGAAGAATGTAACCAATGTCACTGAACATTGTGTGTGGAAATTATTGAATGCAAGTGGGTTTTGCTGTGCATATTTTCACTAAAAGTACAATAAAATATTTTTAGAAATACTTCACATTTTGTTTATCCTTTCATCTGTTGATGGACATTTTGGTTGTTTTCATCTTCTGGCTATTGTGAAAGTGCTGCAATAAACCCTGGTCTACAGGTTTCTGTCTGTGTTCCTGCCTTTACTTCTTCTGGGTATATACCTAAGATTGGGATTGCTGGGTCATAGGGTAATTCTATGTTCAACTTCTTGAGGAATCATCAAACTTTTCACAGTAGCTGCTCTCAGTGTGTGAAGGCTCCAGGTTCTCCACAACCTCACGAACGCTTGTTGTTTCCTGTTTTTGATTGTTTGTTTTTAAATAATTGCCATTCTAATGGGGGTGAGGTGATATCTCATTGTGGTTTTGATTTGCATCTTCCTAATGGATAATGATGTTGAGCGTCTTTTCAAATGTTAGCTGACCATTCGAATATCCTCTGTCATTCAAGTCCTTTGTTCAAACTGAAAAATGAACAATTGTTGTACATCAAAGGATGTTGTCAAGAAAATGAAGAGACAACCTACAGAATGGTAGTAAATATTTGATGACAACATATCTGATAAGGATTTAATATCCAGAATATATAAACAACTCCTACAACTCAACACAAAAAGACAAACAATAGAATATTAAAATGGACAAAGGACTTGAATAGACATTTCTCCAGGGAGATATACAAGTAGCCAATAAGCAAATGGAAAGATGCTCAATATCTTTAGTTATTATGGATATACAAATCAAAACCACAATGAAATTCCACTTCACCCCCACTAGGATGGCTATTATCAGAAAGACAGAATATAACAAATATGGCAAAGATGTGGAGAAATTGGAACCCTTGTGCATTGCTGGTGGGAATGTAAAATGGTTCATTTACTATGGAAAACAGTTTGGCAGTTCCTTATAAAATTAAACATGATTATCATATGGCCCAGCAACTCTGCTCTTAGCCATATACACACGAGACTTGAAAGCAGGGCACCAACATTTATTGCAGTATTATTCACAATAACTAAGTGGTGGCAATAACCCAAGTGTCCATCAGTAGATGAATGGATGAATGGATAAATAAACGTGGTATATCCATAATACAAGGAAGAAGGACCTGGCAGTTTACTTCTGAAAAAATCGGCCAGTGAAAATCTTATGAATAGCAGCAGAACATTGTATGATATGGTGCTGGAAAACGAGCCCTTCAGGTTGGAAGGCACTCACATACGACTGGGAAAGAGCTGCAACCTCAAAGTAGAGTAGATCTTAATGACATGGAGGGAGTCAAGCTTTTGGGACCTTCATTTGCTGATGTGGTACAACTCAAAATGAGAAGAAACAGCTGCATGCATCCATTAATAATCAGAACATGGAATGTATGAAGTATGAATCTAAGAAAATTGGAAGTCATCAAAAATTAAATGGAACACATAAAGATCGATATCCTAGGCATAAGTGAGTTGAAATGGACTGGTATTGGCCATTTGAATCAGACAATCATATGGTCTACTATGCTGGCAATGACAAATTGAAGAGGAATGGCATCACATTCATCATCACAAAGAACATTTCAATATTCATCCTGAAGTACATCGCTGACAATGATAGGATAATATCCATACTCCAATGAGTCAGAATCGACTTGATGGCAAAGGTTTACAAGGGAGATCAGTTAATACGACTATTATTCAACTTCATGCACCAACCACTGAGTCCAAAGATGAAGAAATTGAAGACTTTTTATCAACTTCTGCAGTATGAAATTGATCAAACATGCAATCAAGATGCATTGATAATTACTGGTGATTGGAATGCAAAAGTTGGAAACAAAGAAGAAGGATCAGTAGTTGGAAAATATGGCCTTGGTGATAGAAATGACGCCGGAGATTGCATGATAGAACTTTGCAAGACCAACAATTTATTCATTGCAAATGCCTTTTTTCACCAACATGAATGATGACTATACTTGTGGACCTTGCAGGATAGAATACACAGGAATCAAATCGACTTAATCTGTGGAAAGAAACAATGGAAACACTCAATATCATCAGTCAGAACAAGGCCAAGGGCCAACTGTGGAACAGATTATCAATTGTTCATATGCAAGTTGAAGCTGAAGAATGTAGGAGCAAGTCCATGTGAGCCAAAATGCAACTTTGAGTATATCCCACCTGAATTTAGAGACTATCTAAGAACACTAATGACTGAAGACAGGATGAGTTGTAGACTGACATCAAGGACATCATGCATAAAGAAACCAAGAGGTCATTTAAAAAAAACGGAAAGAAAGAAAAGACCAAAACAGATGTCAGAAGAGACCCTGAAACTTGCTCTTGAATGTAGAGTAGCTAAAGCGAATGGAAGAAATGATGAAGTAAAAGAGCCGAACAGAAGATTTCAAAGGGCAACTTGAGAAGACAAAGTAAAGTACAGTAATGAAATGTGCAAAGATCTAGAGTTAGGAAGCCAGAAGGGTAGAACACACTTGACATTTCTCAAGCTGAAAGAACTGAAGAAAAAATTCAAGCCTCGAGTTGCAATACTGAAGGATTCTATCGGAAAAATATTGAACAATGCAGGAAGCATCAAAGGAAGATGGAAGGCAACTATCACGGCCTCCACCAGACTGAGTCTAGTACAACTACTGACTGCTCTGATAGGGATCACAATAGACGGTCCCAGACAGAGCTGGAAAAAAATGCAGAACAAAAGTCTAACTCACAAAAAAAAGACCAGACTTACTGGCCTGACAGAGACTGGAGAAACTCTGACAGTATGGCCCCCGGACACCCTTTTAGCTCAGTAATGAAGTCACTCCCGAGGTTCACCCTTCAGCTGAAGATTAGAAAGGCCCATAAAACAAAATGAGACTAAAGGGGCACAACAGCCCAGGGACGAGGACAAGAAGGCAGGAGGGGACAGGAAAGATGGTAATAGGTAACCCAAGGTTGAGAGTATTGACATGTCATGGTGTTGTTAACCAATGTTATAAAACAATATGTGTACTAACTGTTTAATGAGAAACTAGTTTGTTCTGTAAACCTTCATCTAAAGTACAATAATAATAATAATAATAAAAGACGGAAGGAATACACAGAGTCAAAAGAATTGGACGACGTTCAACAATTTCAGGAGGTAGCATATGATCAAGAACCAATGGTACTGCAGGAAGAAGTCCAAGTTGCACTGAAGGCATTGTCAAAAAGACAAGACTCCAGGAATTGATGGAATACCGATTGAGATGTTTCAACAAATGGATGCAGCCCTGGAAGTGCTCACTCGTCTATGCCAAGATAGTTGGAGGACAGTTGCCTGGCCAACTGACTGAAAGAGATCCATATATGTGCCCATTCCAAAGAAAGGTGATCCAACAGAATGCAGAAATTATCAAACAAAAACTGTTGACTTGTTGCTGTCGAGTCAACTCCAGCTCATAGCGACCCAATAGTGACCCTATAGGACAGAGTAAAACTGCCTGTATAGGATTTCCAAAGAGCAATTGGTGGATTCAAACTGCCAATCTTTTGGTTAGCAGCCTGAGCTCTTAACCACTGCGCCACCAGGGCTCCATTATCTAGCAATATCATTAATATCATAAACAAGTAAAATTTTGCTGAAGATCATTCAAAAGTGGTTGCAGCAGTACATGGACAGGGAACTGCCAGAAATTCAAATCGGATTCAGAAGAGAATGCGGAACAAAGGATATCATTGCTGATGTCAGATGGATCCTGGCTGAAAGCAGAGAATACCAGAAAGACGTTTGCCTGTGTTTTATTGACTATGCAAAGGCATTTGACTGTGTGGATCACAACAAATTCTATATAACATTGCGAAGAATGGGAATCCCAGAACACTTAATTCTGCTCATGCAGAACCTGTGCATAGAACAAGAGGTAGTCGTTCTAACAGAACAAGGGGATACCGCGTGGTTTAAAATCAGGAAAGATGTGCATCAGGGTTGTGATCTTTCACCATACTTATTCAATCTATATGCTGAGCTGGACTATATGGAGAAGAATGAGGCATCAGGATTGGAGGAAGACTTATTAACAACCTACAATATGCAGATAATACAACCTTGCTTGCTGAAAGTGAAGAGGATTTGAAGCAGTTATTGATGAAGATCAAAGTCTACAGTCTTCAGTATGGATTGCACCTCAACACAAAGAGAACAAAAATCCTCACAACTGGACCAATAAACAACATCATGATAAATGGAGAAAATATTGAAGCTGTCAAGGACTTCATTTTACTTGGATCCACAATCAACATCCATGGAAGCAGCAGTCAAAATAAATCAAATGATGTATTGCATTGGGCAAATCTGCTGCAAAAGGCCTCTTTAAAGTGTTAAAAAGCAAAGACATCAGTTTGAGGAATAAGGTGCACCTTCCCCAGGCCATGGCATTTTCAATTGCCTCATATGCATGTGAAAACTGGACAGTGAATAAAGAAGACCAAAGAAGAATTGATGCCTTTGAATTATGGTGTTGGTGAAGAAAGTTGAACATATCATGGACTTCCAGAAGAACGAACAAATCTGTCTTGGAAGAAGTACAGCCAGAATGCTCCTTGGAAGTGAGGATGGCGAGACTTTGTCTCAAGTACTTTGGACATGTTATCAGGAGGGACCAATCCCTGGAAAAGGACATCATGCTTGGTAAATTAGAGAGTCACTGAAAAAGAGGAAGACCCTCAATGAGATGGATTGACACAGTAGCTGCAATGATGGGCTCAATCATAACGATTGTGAGGATGGCACAGGAGCAGGCAGTGTTTTGTTCTGTTGTACATGAGGTTGCTATGAGTCGGAACTGACTCGATGGCACCTAACAACAACAACAACAATAATCCATACAATGGCATATCACTCAGCCATGAAGAGAAATGAAATACTAATAGATGCTATAACATGGACAAAACTTGAAAATATTATGCTGAGTGAAATAAGCTAGCAGAAAAGGACATTGTATGACCTAATTTATATGAAATATCTAAAATAGGTAAATGCATAGAAATAAAAGTTTATTAGTGGTTATCAAGGGCTGAGGGGAGGAGGAAACAGGAGTTACTGTTGAAAGGGTACTGAGTTTCTATTTGGGGTGATGGAAAACTTTTGAAAATGGTTAGTGGTGAGGATAGCTAACATAGAGAATGTAATTAATGTCCCTAATTTATACACTTAGTTATGATTAACACTTTTTGTTATATAACTTTTTGTTATATTTTACCATATAAAAAAAGATATAGGCCTGTATTCCTTAAGGGCAGTTTAGGAAAGGGCTAGGTGACTTTTTTAAGGTTTGTATATTGGGTAAAAGAGACTTCAAGGCTCAGGCTGTGTTCTTCTGACTATCCAGTACACATATTCAAGTATCTGATTTTGGCTGAATTATCATTTTTACCCAGTTCATGTAGAGCTTCATTTCCATCCTTTTCCAGGTAATTTTCAGATAAATCAAGAATTTTCAGTTTGACCAAATTATGAAGATTCTGACCTGAAAGAAAAATTTAATAAAAAATAAAGACTTCAGGGTAATATATACGCATTTAAAAATATCCTTAAAAGAATTCTGAGCCCTTGTCTTCATTGCCGATGGTAGTGCAAGCCATCATTTGACTTAATGAATTTAATTATTCCCAAATATACTTGGATGAGCTTAACTCGTATCTCCTATGGTTATGACCAAATCGTCAAATATTTCCTGATCCTACATTCGGGATAATAAAGTCCAGGTCACATAGAGCCTAAAGAAGCACAGGTTATAGTTGTTATGTCACTATAAGAAAGTCACTCTGTCTCTCTAAGTGTCAGTATCTTCATCTGTAGAATGAAGAGGTTGAATTAGGTAAACTGTGAGTTTGCTTTCAATCCTAAAATGTCTTATCATGCAGGTAAAACAGAGGAACAAAATGTATATAAGAAAAATAGAGAAACAATCCAAAATGGTAGATGTAAATCCAACCGTATCAATAATTACATCAAACGTAAATGAACTAAACATTCTAAATTAAAAGGTATAGATAATCAGACTGGATTAAAAAAAAAAAAAAAAGCAAGACTCAACTCAATGTTGTCTCCACAAGATTTACTTTAATACAAAGTCAGAAATATGGTGAGGTAAAATATATGGAAAACTATTTTGCATGCAAACATTAATCATAAAATACCTATATCTAGAGTTATTCTAGATAAGAACTGCTTAATTCTTTTCTTCACTTCAGCTATTTATCATGGTAGCTTAATCTGATTGGAATTTTTCTCTATCAAGACTAATTAGAAAACTCTTTTAAAAAAATACGTTTTCTCTTATTATATACGTTTACTCTTATTATAAGCAATTATTATTTTAAATTAATTGTATGAGTTCTTAGAGTAAAATATCTTCTGGGGTTTGGTGCTCTAAAATTAAAAAAAAAAAAAAACAGCTGAACTCCTCTTTTGAAGGATATATTTACTATTTTTGGTTTTAAGCCTATCTCTCTCCAGTGATAAACAGAGAAGTAAACGATTGTGCTCATCATTTCTGTTTTCCCGGTGTTCGTCAGCCTTTTCTAATAATGGTTTTCCCTAGCTGTTTAAATTAGCATACAAGTGGTTTCTCTGGTAATTTTCACAGACTCCCTGCAGTTGTATAGTCTAATTTTAAAACGGTTAGGTCATCTTTTTTCCAAACTCCAAATTTAAAAACATGTTTGAATTGAAAATAGACACTTTTAAAAACAGAAATATGCAAAAATTTCTCTAGAGTTGATTTGCACACTCTTTGGGAACCCCAAAGCATTAATTGTTATATTAATGTACATTAACTCCATCTTAATAGGGCAATTTATAAGAATTAGAAGGATTGAGAACATTTGAGGAAATCCTTCCCTCTCTGCTTCTCAACCATTCATTTATCCATTCATCCAAATATTTATTAGGCAGTAATTATATGACAGGATCCATGCCAAGTTTCAAGCACTTATTTAATTTCTTCCTTTTCAACTTCTCTTAAAGTTATAACATGTTTGATTATTCTGAAATTCTATTATCCATCTGTAATAAATTATAATTCCAATAAAGGCTCATGGAGAAAAATCTTTAAAAAAACGGACTGAATTTTACCTGGAAGACTTTATTTTCCAGTTTTTTCTTTAAATTAAATTTCCCTTTGAGAGATTCCTATCCTCCTAAGTTGGCATTAGTATGAAAGCACCACATGTTCTGTTACACTGTTTTTATTCAGTTTATTCAAACAACTTACCTAGGGTTTTCATGGCATTTGCAGACAGGCAACAGGCGACTAATTGGATTTCTTCAAAGTCACAAGGTTCAGCTGATAGAGACTTGACTATGTAATCCATTCCCTCACCAATGTCAGACAAGTGGGTCAAACGAAGTAAACACAACTTCTTCAGGTTTGTCAGACCTTCAGCTACAAACAAATTGAGAGGAAATGCGCTAAGATACCAAGTTAATTTGATTTAAATGTAGATTAATGCACTAAAAAAAGGCAGAGAAAAATTGTGCAGAAACCTTACCATGCTCTTTCTGTAGAGCATATAAAGAGCCAAAGAGAATTGATTTTCTTTCAACTGTCACTTTCCAGTCTCCTGGATCATGCAAAGGTCATTTATGTTGAGGTTGCACTCTAAGTAGCATGAGAAAAACTACAGTAAATGTATAATATTTTAATGGGTATCTATGTGTACTCTTACCATAGAATGAAGTCTTTTGGGAACACTGTCTCTTTAGTTCCCTCAAAAATCATAGAAGTTGGTAGCTGAGTCCAGAGGGGCAATGTGGGGACTTCAGTTCCTTTGTGTGTTTCCAGGGCAACCGTCCTCAGCCTCAACAGAACCCTGCTTGGGACCTCATGGTATGGGGTCTGCTCAATGCTTTAAAATTGGAAAACCACATCCAATGCAGCAGATTTATCTTTTTTCAGTAGTACAATGGGAAACACTCTCAAATGTCCCTCATTCTTAAGGCTTATTGTGGAGTTTAGGATTAATTAGTCATAACCAGACCACACCAAGCCCATTGTTGTTCAGCCGATTTCGACTCATAGTGACCCTATAGGACAGAGTAGAGCTGCCTCATAAGATTTCCAAGGAGCGACTGGTGGATTCAAACTGCTGACTTTTTGGTTAGCAGTTGAGCTCTTAACCACTGCATCACCAGGGCTGCTAATTAGGCATAGCTCTGTTTTATTAAAATATTTCTTTCTCTTGATGGCACTCTAGCCTATTATTATTGTGCTGTTGTTGCAGGTGCTGTTGAGTCAATTCCGACTCATGGCAACCCCATGTGAAAGAGTAGAACTGCACCAAAGGGTTTTCTAAGCCATAATCTTCACAAGAGCAGATCACCAGATCTTTCTCCCGAGGAACTAGTGGGTTTGAACTGCCAACCTTTTGGGTTGCAGCTGAGTACTTAACCCTTGTGCTGCAAGGGCTCCTTATTCTAGCCTATAGGAAATAAATATGTTTTAATATCATTCTTGCAGATAATATAATAATATAATGTGCTTAGCACGGTGCCTGGCACACATAAGCCCTCAATAACTGTTAATGGTTGTCGTGGGAGTACATACAGCTTAGAGGTTGGGAGCACAAATTTGCAGTCTGTTTGATTCCTGGGTCCCCTATTTAATAATTGTGTAAACTTGGGCAAGTTATTTAACCTTTTAATTGTGGCTTTGGGGGTAATTACAGCTATGGGCTAGGATTATTGTGAAGATTCAGTGAGATGAAGTATGTAAAGGTGCCTAGGATAGTGTCTAATCTATTGCACAGTAACTCTATAATAAATAGCAAGTTACTATTAATATAGTTAAACTGACTTATTCAATCTCAAGTTTTGATTCCTTAATAGCAGAACCAGACTTTCCTGGAAAGTTAGTTTTTGAACGCATTCTCTACCAAATGGTAAGACCATGGTCACATCAATAAATTTTTTTGGTCCCAGTGGAATCTTCTGCAAAATAACCAAGTTGACCTTCATGTTCTCAGGCTTTTTCCAGTTCTGATATTCTGTAAAACCCATAGGCATGCAGTAAATGTTGATTGAACAACTGTATTAATTTGATTGTTCTCATGTAAGTTATATATATATATATATAAAGAGAGAGAGAGAGAGAGAGAGAGAGGTCATCTAGGTTTTAATTACAGGCATACCTTGAGATATTGTGGGTTCAGTTCCACACCACTGCAATAAAGCGAATATCACAATAAAGCAATTTTTTTGTTTCCCGGTGCATATAAAAGTTATATTTACACTATACTTAAGTTTATTAAGTGTGGAACAGCATTATGTCTAAAAAACAATGTACATACCTTAATTTAAAAAAATACTTTATTGCTTTAAAAAAAGTGCTAATCATCATCTGAGCCTTTGTTGGTGGAGGGTGTTGCTTCAATTTTGATGGCAGCTGACAGATCAGGGTGGTGGTTGCTGAAGTTTGGGGTGGCTGTGGCGATTTCTTAAAATAAGACAACAATGAAGTTTGCCACATCAATTGACTCTTCCTTTCATGAAAGATTTCTCTGTCGCATGTGATGCTGTTTGATAGCATTTTACCCACAGTAGAACTTCTTTCAAAATTGGAGTCGATCCTCTCAAATCCAACTGCTACTTTACCAACTAAGTTTATGTAACATTCTAAATCCTTTGTTATTGTTTCAACAATGCTCACGGCACCTTCACCAGGAGTAGATTCCATCTCAAGAAACCACTTTCTTTGCTCATCCATAAGAAGCAACTGCTCATCCGTTAAAGTTTTATCATGAGATTGCAGCAATTCAGTCACAGCTTCAAGCTCCAGTTCTAATTCTAGTTTTCTTGCTATTCCTTTCCACCACATCTGCAGTTACTCCCTCCACTGAAGTCTTGAAGTCCTCAAAGTCATCCATGAAGGTAGGAGTCAACTTTTCCCCAACTCCTGTTAATGTTGATATTTTGACCTCCTCTCATGAATCACGAATGTTCTAGAAAGGTGAATCCTTTCCAGAAGATTTTCAATCTACTTTGCGCAGATCCATCAGAGGAATCGCTGTCTATGGCAGCTATAGCCTTATGAAATGTATTTCTTAAATAATAAGATTTGAAAGTTGAAATTATTCCTTGATCAATGGGCTGCAAAATGGATGTTGTGTTAAACCAAAAAACCAAACTTTTTGCCATCAGTGGATTCTCATTCATAGCAACCCTATAGGACAGAGTAGAACTGACTCCACAGGGTTTCCAAGGAGCAGCTGGTGGATTCAAATTGTCAACCTTTTTGTTAGCAGCTGAACTCTTAACCACTACACCACCATGAAAACAACATTAATCTTCTTGTACATCTCCATCAGACCTCTTGGGTGACCAGGTATATTGTCAATGAGCAGCAATATTTTGAAAGAAATCTTTTTTTCTGAGCAGTAGTTCTCAACAGTGGGCATAAAAATTCAGTAAACCGTGTTGTAAACAGATGTGCTGTCATCCAGGCTTTGTTTTTCCATTTATAAAGCACAGGCACAGTAGATTTAGCATAATTCTTAAGGGTCCTAGGATTTTCAGAATGATAAATGAGCACTGGCTTCAACTTAAAGTCACCAGCTGCATTAGCCCCTAACAAGAGAGTCAGCCTGTCCTTTGAAGCTTTGAAGCCAGGTGATGACCTCTCCTCTCTAGCTATGAAAGTCTTAGATGACATCTTCTTCCAACATAAGGCTGTTTCATCTACATTGAAAATCTATTGTTTACCATAGCCACCTTCATCATTATCTTAGCTAGATCTTCTGGATAACTTGTTGCAGCTACTACATTGGCACTTGCTGCTTCACCTTGTACTTTTATGTTATGGAGATGGCTTCTTTCCTTAAACCTCATGAACCAACCTCTGCTGGCTTCAAACTCTTCTTCTGCAGCTTCCTCACCTCTCTCAACCTTCATAGAATTGAAGAGACTTAGGGCCTTGCTCTGAATTAGGCTTTGATTTAAGGGAATGCTGTGGCTGGTTTGATTTTCTATCTAGATCACTAAAACTTTCTCCATACCAGCAATAAGGCTGTTTTGCTTTCTCACCATTCATATGTTCACTGGAGTAGCACTTTTAATTTCCTTTAAGAACTTTTCCTTTGTATTCACAACTTGGCTAACTATTTGGTGCAAGCAACCTACCTTTCGGCCTGTCTTGGCTTTTGACATGCCTTCCTCAAAAAGCTTAATCATTTCTAGCTTTTGATTTAAAGTGAGAGACGTGCAACTCTTCCTTTCACTTGAACACTTAGAGGCCATTGTAGGGTTATTAACTGGCCTAATTTCAATATTGTCATGTCTCAGGGAATAGGGAGGCCCAGGAAGAGGGAGAGAGACAGGGGAATGGTCAGTCCGTGGAACAGTCAGAACAAACACATTTATTAGTTAAGTTATATTAAGTTATATGTGTGTGGTTCATGGCACCCCAAAACAATTACAATAGTAACATCAAAGATCACTGACCACACATCACAATAACAGATAAAATAATAATAATGAAATAGTTTGAAACACTGCAAGAATTACCAAAATGTGACACAGCAGCATGAAGTGAGCACATGATGTTGAAAAAATGGCGCTGATAGACTTGCTGAATGCAGGGTTGCCACAAATCTTCAATTTTTAAAAAAACGCAGTACTTGTGAAGTGCAATAAAGTGAAGCGCAATAAAACGAGGTATGCCTGTACAGAACTTGGTTGAATTTGGGCAAGAAACAGAAGGAAAAAGAACAAGGCTGAGGGAAAAGAAAAGCATTTTTACTGAGGACTCAAACAGGAAAAATAGGAGCAGAAAAAAGCAGGGACATTGGGAAAACACTGTCAACAGGAATCCACCTGTCCTGAAGGCCCTGGGTCCCTGTGATAAGCCATATGTTCTGCTTGTTTTTCTGCGGTTTTCTTAATCCACGTCTTTTCTTGTGTCCCACTCCATTTGTGAAGTTTTATTTAAATTATGAAATCACAGTATAAACCTTTTTATATTGTTTCTATGCTTTAAATACAAACGTGGACAATCAGCCAAGGAGATGGAAGTTAAAAACATATGGCCTCTGCCTCTAAGGAGGTTGCAATTTAGTAAGTACAATTTACATAAAATGGTGGTGAAGGATTGGAATAGGAGTGGGCAAAGGTGTCTAGGGAAGCCAATGTAGCCGCAAGTACATAAAAACATCCTTGCCTTGTGCAGACACAGCCAACGTTGAACAGTCTTAAGCTGACTGTTTTATTATCAAAGTAAAAATTAACATAACCAAAAATCTGACCTAGTTTTATGGCATCCTCCTCATTCATCTTAATGTTGTCCAGTATGAGCTTCGTAATGTTATTTAAATTACCCAAGCTGTCAGTCAAACCACCTGCCAAAAGAAAAAGGATTAGATTGTGTTCAGCTGTTATTTACTAGATTTCTATTACAAATTAAAAGATTTTAGTTGTCATCAAGGGCAAGAAATGCTGAAAAGTTTACACAAAAATGTATTTTGAGTCAGTTATGGGTATCTTAATTAGCTATAAGCATGTTCTCTGAATATAATGGAGAGAAGCTAAAAATCAGTAACAAAAAGATAACAAAGAAATCTTCAAGCCCTTGGAAATCAAACAACACTCTAAATAATCACTGGTCAAAGAGGAAGTCTCAAAGGAAATTAGAAAATATTAAAAAAGAGAGATGAAAATTAAGCATATCAAAATCTGTGGGATGCAGCTAAAACAGTGTTTACAAAAAACCAACAACCAAACCCATTGCTGTTAAGTCGATTCTGACTCATAGTGACCCTACAGGACAGAGTAGAACTGCCTCATAGGGTTTCCAAGGAGTGGTTGGTGGATTTGAACTGCTGACCTTTTGGTTAGCAGCTGAGCTCTTAATCACTGTGCCAGCAGGGCTCCAAAACAGTGTTTAGAGGGAGATTTATAGCACTGAATGCTTACATTAGAGCAGAGGAAATATCTGAAATCAATAACCTAAGCTTTCTACTTAAAAAAACTAAAGAAAAAAGAACAAAATAAACCCACAGCAAGGAAAGGGAAGGAAATAATGAAGATAAGGGAAAAGTAAATCAATAATTTTATTGACTTTTCCCTTATCTTTATTATTTCCTTTATTATTTTCTGAAAACAGAAAAACAATAGAAAAAAATTGATAAAACTAAAAGCTAGTTTTCTGAAAGAGCAATACAATTGATAAATTCCTAGTAAGAATAATAAAAGAGAGAGAGAAGACACAAATTATCAATATCAGAAATGAAGGAGGGGATATCACTACAGACACAGCACATGTTAAAAATAATAATTAGAGAATAAAATAAGTAAATACAAACATATAAGTTTGACCATATAGATGAAATGAATCAGTTCTTTGAAAACTACAAACTACCAAAACTTACCCAAGATGATATAGATAACCTGAATAGTCCTATAGCAATTAAAGAAATTGAATTTGTACTTTAAACCTTCCAGAAAAAAAAAAAAATCTGCAGTCCCAGATTGTTTCACTTGCAAATTCTACCAAACATTAAAAGAAGAAATAATACAAATTCTACACAATCACTTCCAGAAAATAGAAGTAGAAGGAACAACTCATTTTATACGGCTACCATTAACCTGATATGAAAACCAGACAAAGGAAATAAAAAATTCCAGCAGGTTTTTTTGAATATAAATAATCTGGGTCTAAAATTTATACAGAATGGCAAAGGAACTAGAATATCAAAAATAATTTTGAAAAAGAAGAATAAGTTTGGAAGAATAACACTATCCAATTATATTATTTAATATAAAGCTACAGTTATCAAGATAGTGTGGTACTGGCAAGGGATAGAGACATAGATCAATAGGAGAAGAGAGTCCAGAAACAGACCCACAAAATTATAGCCAAATGATTTTGACAAAGGCACAAAAGCAATTAAGAAAAAAAGCTACTGGAAAGATTTTGAGGCGGGGTCAAAATGGTGGAGTAGTCAGACACTTCCTGTGGTCCCTCTTACAACAAAGACCCAAACAAACAAGTGAATCGATTATATATGACAGTTTAGGAGCCCTGAACATCATACGCAAAGCTGATGAATTGGTCTGAATGGTAGGGGGAGGGAGAGACGGTTCAGAAGCAGTGAAGAGTTGCCAGACGTGACCTAGCAGGAGCCGGCACCCTTCAGTCTAGATAGGCTGGTGTGTGCAGTGAGGCAAGCAGTGGCCCTTGGGAAGTGTTTTCCACATCAGGAGAGACCCAGTCGCAAAGAGACTACTCACACCTCCAGAACCAGTGAAAAGCAGTGCTCAATCAGCAAAGGATAAGTATATGTGTCTGACCTACCACATGGATCAAATAACACCCCCTTTAGGAAAAAACTCTCTACCATTTACCTACCCCCTCCCTGCTCTGCACCGAGTCCTAGGCCAGCTTCAGCAATTGCCAAGTCCCCTGGGTCAGATGTAGGACCCATCACATACCCTGAGTCTTGGAGAGGGAACAAATTAACAAACAGGAAAAAATAATCTGCCAGTTCCCTTAAGCAGGGAATTTAGGATAGGTACAGCTCCTTTGTCTAGGCACAGGCCCAAGGGGTCCAAGGACTTTGAATGCTTTTCATCCCTGCATAGACCTGTGTGGGGTCATTTCCACAACATAGGCCCTCATTACCACAGTAAAATGGGTATATACCTGAAGTCTAACTTCAACTGTATTACCTATATGGTGAAGTGGCAGGTTAGTGACATTTGACACTGCTCTGCCCGTTAAGCAGAGTCCTCACCTATCCAAATCGGGGGCCTGAGGACTGGTGGATCCACCCACGCCACCTAGCCACCAGCGAAGGTATCCAAAAATAAGTGGTGCCTCCCAGTCCTTAGAGCCAACAGCACTGAGTGCCCATAGTCCAGGTGCAAAACTCACCAACCTATGTACTCTAGGGAACAAGAACATACTTTCCTCCCAGACACTCAGGGGCAGCCATCAGCCCCCGGCCTTGCTCAGCACATAACCCCCTACTACACCCAGATACCAGTGCCTACACCAATCACCCCTGCCTGTCTAGGACTGTAGATGAGAGCCTACACCACATACTAGGTGACCAACTACCTGGACACCTAAGCTGAATCCATACGAGAAAAGTAAACAGACTCATGGGATCACATATCTAGTAACAGATCTAACCACCTAGTGACAGGAGGTTAGAGCTTCAAACGTGTCAATAATCAAAGTAGCTCACAGGAGCAGCCTTTTTTGGGCATAACAAAACAAAACAATACAAGACGCTAGGACACAGTAAGCAAACATAAAATAAATATTATAACTTATTGATGGCTCAGAGTTAACAGTCACTATCAAATCACATAAACAGGCAGACCATGACAGCTTCAGCAAGCTCCCAAAACAAAGAATCAAGAAATTTTCTGGAGGAAGAGAACTTCTTGGAATTACTGGAGGTAGAATACAAAGATTAATATACAGAACTCTTCAAGAGATCAGGAAGAAGCTCATGCAAAATGCAGAATATGCTAAGGAACATACAGACAAAGCAGTAGAGGAACTTAACAAGATTAGAGAAGAGCATAATGACAAATCTAACAGGCTGCAGGAATCCACAGAGAGATAGCAACCAGAAGTCCAGAAGATTAACAACAAAATTTCATAATTAGACAACGCAATAGAAAGTCATAGGAGCAAAACTGAGGCAATGGAAGTCAGAATTGTGAGACTGAAGATAAAGCACTTGACACCAACTTATTTGAGGGAATATCAGATAAAAGAATCTTTAAAAATGAAGAAACTCTAAGAATTATATGGGATTCTATCAAGAGGACTAACCTATGAGTGACTGGAGTACCAGAACAGGGGGGGATAACAGAAAATACAGAGAGAATTGTTAAAGATTTGTTGGCAGAAAACTTCGCTGATATTGTGAAAGATGAGAAAATAGCCAAGATGCTCATTGAATCCCATATAGGGTAGATCCTAAAAGACAGTCACCAAGACATATTATAATCAAACTTGCCAAAACCAAAGATAAAGACAGAATGTTAGGAGCAGCCAGGGATAAATGAAAAGTCATCTACAAAGGTGAGTCAATAAGACTAAGCTCAGACTACTCAGCAGAAACCATGCAGGCAAGAAGGCAATGGGATGACATATATAAAGCCTTGAAGGAAAAAATTGCCAGCCAAGAATTATATATCCAGCAAAACTGTCTCTCAAATATGATGGCAAAATTAGGGCATTTCCAGATAAACAGAAGTTAAGGGAATTTGCAAAAACCAAACCAAAATTATAAGAAATACTAAAGGGAATCCTCTGGTTAGAAAATCAATAACATAAGATAACAACCCAAGACTAGAACACAGGACAGATCAACCAGATATCAACCCAGATAGGGAAGACACAAAGCTAAAAAACTGAAAATAGGAAAACAGAGATATCAATACATTAAAGATGACAACATTAAAAAGAAAAAGAGGGACTAAAAAACGTAATCATAGATCTTCCATACGGAGAGGAAGTCAAGGCAATATAAAGAAATAAAAGACTGGTATAAACTTAGAAAAATAGGGGTAAATATTAAGATAGCCACAAAGGAAACTAACAATCCTACACATCAAAATAAAAAACAGGAAAAACATAAAGACTCAGTAAATACAAAATCAACAACAATGAAAAAGATGAAAAGGAAATACGTAAAGAAAAATGACTCAGCATAATTAAGTGGAAAAAAGAAACCATCAACAACACACAAAAAAAGACATCCAAATGACAGCACTAAACTCATACCTATCAATGATTATTCTGAATGTAAGAGGACTAAATGAACCGATAAAAAGACAGAGAGTGGCAGAACGGATAAAAAAACACGATCCATCTATATGCTGCCTACAAGACACACACCTTGGACTTAAAGACACAAACAAACTAAAACTCAAAGGATGGAAAAAAATATATGAGGCAAACAACACTCAAAAAAGAGCAGGAGTGGCAATATTAATATCTGACAAAATAGACTTTAAAGAAAAACCACCACACAGGATAAGGAAGGACACTAAATAATGATTAAAAGGTCAATACACTAGGAGGACATAACTATAATAAATATTTATGAACCCAATGACAGGGCTCCAAAATACATAAAACAAACTCTAACAGCATCAAAAAGAGAAATAGACAGCTCCACAATAATAGTAGGAGACTTCAACACACCACTTTCAGTGAAGAACAGAACATCCAGAAACAAGCTCAATAAAGACACGGAAGACCTAAATGCCACAATCAACTGACTTGATCTCATAGACATATACTGAACACTCCACCCAACAGCAGCCAAGTATACCTTCTTTTCCAAAGCACATGGAACATTCTCCAGAATAGACC